TAACGCCCCTATGGTTATGACTAATACATATAGTGTAATACAATACTGAATAGTACTGTTAATTTTATTAGCAAAAATGCTTTGTAATAGGTTTTGCAATGGAAATGACAATGACAAATTATTAAATAGTTAATTTCAAATTTCAACAGGATTTAAACTTATTATATGTACTTTAAAAATAAGTAGTTAATTTGAAATGAATTAAAATCTATTTTTTAAAAATAAGTTGTTTTAATATTTATTCGTATTAATAAATAATTTTTAATCAATAATCGCGTCAATAAATATTGAATCTGTTTAGACAAATAAAACTCATTTAAATGAATACTGTATAATGTTTGGCAACAATTCTTAGATTTTAATGTATTGTATAATGACTTTTAATTTATAGTTTAATAAAATGAACAAATCTATTACTACATTAATATTTCTGCAAATATTTAGCAGTAATATCTAAATGATTATGTATTATAAAAAGTATAAAATGCTAGTAATTTTAATTTTATATCAGGATGACGTATTTAATTTTAATAGTTTCATAATGATAATTATGAAACTTTAAAAAACCTTTTTTTATGATAAGAATTAGAAACTAGAATTTAAAACTTTTATTTACTATATGTGATAGGTATATTCAATATAAATACCTCAGTTTAGTTTGAAAACTTAGTAATGTAAAGCAAAAGCTTTAAATTAGCATCTTAATCGTATATTTTGTATGCGTAAGATGCTAATTTAAAGCTTTTGCTTTACATTACTAAGTTTTCAAACTAAACTGAGGTATTTATATTGAATATACCTATCACATATATTAAACATCTCAATATGGAGTCCAATGCAAATCAAATGACAAAAGCATTGAAACTTGTTTTAACCATGGTCTTATGTTTGATGTTATGTATAAACGTAAGTGTTTGAAAATTAATTTATAATGAAATTAATGATAAATAATAATCAGGATTTGGATGAACAACGTTAATTGCTTTTAACTGTATTAAGTTGATAGAGTTTAAAAATTATAACTAATTAGCATAAAGTTAGCCGGATTACACAAAGATTTTGGTGATGCAAAATCATTTGACATAACATTTATAATTACTAATATAAATACCTTGTTTCAAATGAATAGTCCATAACCTATTGAATCGGTGGACCGGCGTTAACAACATTACAACTGTTATACAACACAACACTGGACGGCATATCCGATGCTAACGACATGATGTATGTGGGTTTCACCATGGGCACTTTATTTGTTTATAATGAGTGACACAAGTAAAGTGCCCATGGTGGAGCCCACGTACATCATCTTATTTAATGTTGTGTTTGTTTGAAACTTGATTTGCCTATTGTCTGTATAATGTATAAAACTATTGATTTAAAATCCAATGAATGTCTGAATTGTGAGTATTGTATTCAATAGTAAAATAATATAAACTTTTATTGTATAATAAAATACACAATAAAAGTCTCAAACTATTTTCAGACAAATAATACCTAATTAGAAGTTTTTGTTAAATTTAAAATAAAATATAAAATAAAATAAGAATCTCTGAGGAAATGATTTAAAATTTTAAATTGTTTTACATTTACCAACATCCTTTTTATAAAATGATTTAAACTAATTAAATGTTTACATAAACTGAAATAAAATAAGTTTAAATAAATATTCTTGAACATAAAACAATAAGTACTGTAAATATTGAACACTACGGTATAAAAATTTATTTACGATTGTGTATACAGTCCATTTAAATCTTGTGTAATATACTTAAAAGTGTGTATTATAAATACAAAAATCCCTGTGATTAATACAAAGCTTATTCACTATTTTAATCAGTTTTTGATTTTTAATATTTTAATCCTTTATATAAGTATTAAATTGATAAACACTCTTACTTTTATTAATTGATGAAAAATATATTATTAATAATATATCATTTACAGTTAGGCTGGACTTTCAATGGTAATTATATATTTTTTATTTAACTCTATATTCAATCAATGAGATATTTAAATTATTATAATGCTGTATTATGATTTAAGTAACAATGTGAAATACTCTTATTGACATAATGTTATTTCTAAAATAAAATCTGGTAAAAATAAGTCAAAAAAGGCAATTTCCATAAACTACCGGATCTTTAATTTACTGATAATAAGTGTAAAATACAAGTGAATGTATTTTAGATTTATTAATAATAATGAGAAATAATGTTCAGTGATTTCAAATATTTAATAGATAATATAAAAATATTATTTAAATCTTAATTTTTATAATTTTTATAATGCATCTATAAAAATAATATTAATAATTTAAATTGATTTGACATCTGTATTACCAGATGTATTTTATTAATATTATATATTCAATATTAATGTATCAATCAGCTAAATTGTTTTCTAATTAACTAAATAAACCGACCATAACCTTTAAATTATACTCCTAGGTTATACAAAATAAGTATTTTAATGCAATTTGTGACATTCACTTATTAACTTATTAAAGTATATTTAAATATTTAAGTAATTAAAAAATAAATTGGATTGTTAACTAATTAAAAATGAAGCTGCTTATATTGTTTATAATAACAATTCATACAAATGTTGAGTCCATTAACAACACAATAGCCAAAGAGGGGTTAATAAGAGATGAAAAGAAGGCGATGGCATACCTGGCCGATGTGAACGCGCAATACCTTATCTGGAATAACAAGATGGGCATGGTCAATTGGGCTCACGATTCAGATATCAATGAAAAGAATTTGGAGGCCAAAGTATGTATTGAATGGCTTTACAAATTATTTTCCGCAATTAAATTCATTACTTTTAGGTCAAAATGATCAAAGAATTCAATGCATGGAATAAGGAACTGGCGATTGGGCTTAAAAAGTATGATTGGACTCACTTTACACCATATAATAGGAGACAGTTTGAGAAGATGGCGGTTATCGGCACCTCTGCCCTCAATTTAGAGGACGAGAAAAAGGTATTCCTCAGTATTATATAGAAATTTACAATTAATTAGTATTGAATCTAAAGTAATATAGTAATGCCTTTAAATATCACATAAGAGAGAGAGAGAGAGAGAGAGAGAGAGAGAGAGATGATCTGTTGTGAGAGAGAGAGAGAGAGAGAGAGTTTGGTTTAATAGGGTTCGGTGTGGTCTAGTGGTTAAGGCGCCTGACATGTAATCAGGAGACCCGGGGTTCGATCCCCCGGTGGTCCCCCTTTTAAGGCAAATTCTCATATCAATTATTTCTAAAACTTTCTATACCTCCCATTTCTCTGATAAATAAAAATAAGTGATAGAAAAACATCTTAAATACCATTTAACAAAAATACAATTCTTAAATTTTAAAGTAATACCTGTAATTGATATGTTCATTACTAGTTCATTGATGTGACCAATAACATGGAAAAAACTTACAGTACGGGCAAAGTGTGTGTTAATGGCAAATGTGCGCTTGAATTGGAGCCAGGTATTTATTAAGCACTTGATTGAACCCTACATTGACTAAAGATTTTAAATTATAAATATTATTTGGTTTTTAACACCTTTTCTTAAATAGATTTGACGAAAATAATGAGTGAATCTAAGAATTACGACCAACTGAAGGAGGCGTGGGTTAACTGGAGGGACGCCTCCGGAAAGAAAATGAGAACAGATTTCATATCTTATTATAATTTAGGCAATAAAGCGGCCAAACTTAATGAACTGCCAAATATGAGTATTAATGCTTATGATGACACATTACCCCAAACATACTGACCCCTCGCTATTGTTAATATGATTTAATATAACATAGAGTTTGAAACATTTGACGACTTGTGGCTCTTTCCGTGGGAAACGCCGGACATTAAGAATCAAACGGAGAATCTATTGCTAGAAATGATGCCTTTCTATGAGAAACTTCACGCATATGTTAGGAAACATTTGAGGAAAGCATATCCCGGCAAAATGCCTAAAGATAACACAATACCCGCGCACATTTTGGGCAATATGTGGGCTCAACAGTGGAGTGATATTATGAAAACGGTGCCGGGTGTTGATCCATATCCCGACGTACAGACCATTGACGTGACAAAGGAATTAATTAAACAAGTATAATAATATTAAAACGTTTATATATTAATATTGTCATAAATTAAATGTGAATTTTGTTATAATAATTACAATTAAACCCAGAATTATACGGCAAAACGAATGTATGAATTGTCGGACAAATTCTTTAGTGAATTGGGACTCATGAAAGTGACCGACACTTTCTGGCAGAAGTCTATCATAGAGAAAGCCAAAGGCAAAGTAATGGTCTGGTTAGTAGTTGCTTGGTGAAATGTACATATTATAAATCTAGATGAGATAAATCTAGAAATATTAGCTATTAATTTGATGAGGTTTAAATTAATTAATATATATATTTAGTCATGCTTCTGCCTGGGATTTCTACGCCAAAACTGGTGATGATTTTAGGTATAGTGAGTCAAGTGATTAGTAGTCAGTTACATAAAATGATTAATAAATAGGATAAAAATGTGTACCGAGATCAATATGGTTGACTTGATTACAATCCACCACGAGATGGGACACATCCAGTATTATATGCAATACAGAGACCAACCAAATGTGTATCGCGAGGGCGCTAATCCAGGTCTGGACTACAATCAAGCGATTCGTATGAATGACTGCTTTATAATAATGATTTCTATGAATAGGTTTTCACGAAGCAATTGGAGATCTGTTGGCACTGTCGGTGTCGACACCAAAACATTTGCAGAAAATAAAACTCTTAACAATCGACGATTCGGTGGATTTGAAAAAAATAACGATTAAATACCAGTTGAAGGTGGCGTTGGAGAAGCTAACAATACTACCCTGGGCATTTCTAATGGATAAGTATCGGTGGGACGTGTTCACCGGTAAGACAGCACCCGCTCATCTGAACAAACACTGGTGGGAACTTAGGGGCAAATATCAGGGCCTATCACCACCTGTCAAACGAAGCGAAAGCGACTTTGATCCAGGTGCTAAATATCATACGGCAGCCGGTATTGAATACATCAGGTATTTATGAATATAATTTTCCCAATTTTTGAAAATAACATTTAATTAAATAATATAAATGTTTAGGTATTTCGTGGCAGACGTACTACAGTTCCAGTTCCACAAAGCGTTGTGTAGTTTCAGCCAAAAGGATGTCCCCCTCCACGAGTGCGACATCGATGGCGACAAAGAGGCCGGAAATCTATTAAAGTTTGTCATATCGTAACGATTACCGGTGTAACAGGTTTTTAAAATTAATACTCTTTTGATAGGAGTGTCCTAAGAATTGGTTCGTCCGAGTTATGGCCAAAACAGTTGAAACAATTCACGGGAACCGAGAAAATGGATGTCCAGCCGATGATCGAGTATTTCAAACCATTGATTGAATTTTTGGATAAAAATTTGGAGGACGAGGAGCCGGGCTGGGAGTTCAATGGTAGGCGTGTCTCACATTATTGAAACTTGTGTTTTAGCTTGGTAATTTATGAATAATTAATTGGTTTCCAGTTGACGACTACTTCGAGAGTTC